ACTGTTCTTTCCAGGAAACTTTCATCAATATCATTCTTGATTATACTATTTTTGTTATCCCAGCTCTAGCTTTTAGAAAGAGGCCTTTACAGTAAAAAACATAAGTGTAGCAAAAGGTGTGCAGCAAATATCGATCAAGGGCAGTGAAGGGTCAGTCCAAATTGTCCAAACTCTGGAATTTTGTCAAACAGTGCCTTCAGGATGCTTGGCATCACCTGTGTTGGAATTTTGATGGGGATTGCATTGAATCTGTAGATTGCTTTTGGTAAAACTGGCCATTTTCACTATGTTAATCCTACAAATCCATGAGCGTGGGAGATCTTTCCATCTTCTGAGGTCTTCTTTGATTTCTCTTTTCAGGGATTTGAAATTCTTGTCATACAGATCTTTCACTTGCTTGGTTCGAGTTACTTCAAGATATTTTATATTATTTGTGGCTATTGTGAAGGGTATTGTTTCCCTAATTTCTTTCTAAGCCTGTTGATCATTTGTGTAAAGGAAGGCTATTGATTTGTTTGAGTTAATTTTATATCCTGTCACTTTGCTGAAGAGTTTTTTTTTTTTTAAATTATATCAGCTGTAGGAGTTCTCTGGTGGAATTTTGGGGTCAGTCATGTATACAATCAAATCATCTGCAAATAGTGATTCTTTGACTTTTTCCTTTCCAACTTGTATCCCCTCAGCCTCTCATTTTCTAATTGCTCTAGCTAGAACTTCAATGACTTTATTGGATAGGGAGAGAGTGGCAACCTTGTCTTGTCCCTGATTTTAGTGGGATTGCTCCAAGTTTCTCGCCAGTTAATTTGATGTTGGCTGTTGGTTTGCTATATATTACTTTTATTATATTTAGGTATGTGCCACAAATTCCTGATCTCTCCAGTACTTTTAACATGAAGGGGTGTTGTGTTTTGTGGAAGGCACTTCAGCATCTAATGAGATAATCATGTTACTTTTTTTTCTTTGAATATGTTTACATAGTGTATTGTGTTGATGGATTTTCATATATAGAACCATCCCTGGGATGAAGCCTACTTGATCTTGGTAAATGATGGTTTTGATATGTTCTTGAATTAGGTTTGCAAGAATTTTATTGAGCATTTTTGCATTGATATTCATAAGCAAAATTGGTTTTAAATTCTCTTCCTTTTTGAGTCTTTGTGTGGTTTAGGTATCAGAGTGATTGTGGCTTCATAGAATGAACTAGGTAGTGGTCTTTCTGTTTCCATTTTGTGAAATAGTTTAAGGAATATTGGTATTAACTCTTCTTTGAAAGTCTTGTAGAATTTTGCACTAAAACCATCTTGCCCTGGGCTCTTTCAGTTGGGATATTTTTAATGATTATTTATATTTCCTTAGGGGCCATGGGACTGTTTTGATAGTTTACCTGATCTTGGTTTAACTTTGTACGTGGTATCTATCTAGAAAATTTCATCTAGATTTTCCAGTTTTGTGGAGTATAGGCTTTTGTAGTAGGTTCTAATGATTTTTTGAATTTCCTCAGTTTCTGTTGTTGTGACTCCCTTTTCATTTCTGATTTTGTTAATTTTGATACTGTCTTTGTATCCTTAATTAGTTTGGTTAAGGGTTTATCTATCTTGTTGATTTTCTCAAAGAATCAGCTCTTGGTTTTTGTTAACTCTTTGCATCTTCTCTTTGTTTCTATATGGTTCATTTCAGCCCTGAGTTTTACTATTTCCTGCTGTCTATTCCTCATGGGTGTGTTTGCTTCTTTCCTTTCTAGAGCTTTCAGGTGTGCTGTTAAGTTGCTTGTATGGGATCTCTCCAATTTCTACATGAAGGCACTTAGTGCTATGACTTTTCCTCTTTACACTGCTTTCATTGTGTCCCATAATTTTGGGTATGATGCTTCTTCATTTTCATTGAATTCTATAAAGTCTTTGATTTCTTTCTTTATTTCCTCCCTGACCAAGTTATCACTGAGCAGAGAGTTGTTCAGTTTCCATGATTATGTGGGCTTTATATTGCTTTTGGTGTTATTGAAGTCTAGCCTTAGTCTGTGGTGATTTGATAGAATGCATGGGATTATTTCAATCTTCTTTTATCTGTTGAGTTTTGTTTTGTGTTTGATTATATGGTCAATTTTGGAGAAGGTTCCAATGAGGTGCTGAGATTTCTTGATTTGGGGTGAAATGTTGTTATGCCCTGTTCATGGGAATCCCAGGAAACCGCCAGAGATAGTGACACTGATGTAAATATACACAAGAGTCTTTATTATTTGAGTCTGGACTTGGGCTGTAGCCTCCCCTGCTTAGCAGGTTAGGAATGTGACCCTTAGGTCTAGGAGTTTGGTCTCTCTCTCTCTCTCTCTCTCTCTCTCTCTCTCTCTCTCTCCACACACACACACACACACACACACACACACACACACACACACACACACAATCTATATTCATCTATATCCTATCTATCTATCTATCTATCTATCTATCTATCTATCTATCTATCTTCTATCTACCATCTATCTATCTATCTATCTATCTATCTATCTATCTATCTATCTGGGAGATGCATAAGCTGGGGCTTTCAAGTCTTGGCATTACATGATTGGGCAGGGGGTAATGGAATGCTATCTTTCAAAACTGATAGTGTTTGTTCAGATGACAAGGCAGGACCATACATCTGGAAAATGACCTTTCTGACCTGGGAAGAAATAACTCATTCCATTATCAGAGGCTAGTGTATTTTTACAAGCCAGCCAAGCTAGGAACACTTGGTTGCCTTTTTCCCATAGTTCAATAGTGGGGGCCTTATACTTCAAGAGCATTAAATTTTGTCTCCTCCCAAGGCAGGGGACATCTGCACCGAGGGGACTGTTTAACTCGGGGTGGGACTAGGGAGTGTGAGACTCAGTTGCCTTGTGTCTCTTCATTCTGTGGATATCTGTTAAATCCATTTGGTTCCTAACTTCTGTTAGTTTCATTGTGTCTCTGCTTAGTTTTGTTTCAATGACATGCCCATTGGTGAGAGTGGATTGTTGAAGTCTCTCACTATTATTCTGTGAGGTTCAATGTATATTTTGAACTTTAGTAAAGTTTCCTTTATGAATGTGAGTGCCCTTGCATTTGGGGCATGATGTTCAGAATTGAGACTTCCTCTTGGTGGATTTTTCCTTTGATGAATATGAAGCATCCTTCCCCATATTCTTTGATAACTTTTGGTTGAACGTCTATTTTATTGGATATTAGAATGGCAACTCCAGCTTGTTTCTTGGGACCATTTGCTTGGAAAACTTTTTATTCTAAGGTAGTGTCTGCCTTTGTCACTGAAATGCGTTTCTTTTTTTTTTTAATTTATTTTATTGGATGTTTTATTTACATTTGAAATGTGTTTCTTGTATGCAGCAAAATGCTGGATCCTATTTATGTATCCAGACTGTTAGTCTGTGCCTTTTTATTGTGTAGTTGAGTCCATTGCTGTTGACAGCTGTTAAAGACAGATGATTGTTAGTTCCTGTTATTTTTATTTCTGGAAGTGGTATTATGTGTGTATAATTCTCTTCTTCTGGGTTTGTTGTGAGAAGTTTAATTTTTTGTGTTTTCTTGAATGTAGTTTTTCTCCTTGTCTTGGAGATTTCCTTCCAGTATTCTCTGTAGGGATGGATTAATAGAAAGATACTGTTTGAATTTGGAATATCTTGGCTTCTCTATCTATGATGATTGAGAGTTTTGAATATTTTGGGTTAGGAGTTTTTTGTACTTTGAATTTTCTTTGATCATTGTGTCAGTATCTTGTATGGTATCTTCTACACCTGAGACTCTCTCTTCTATGTCTTGTATTCTGTTGATGATACTTGCACCTATGGCTCCTAATCACTTTTCTAAGTTGTCCATCTCCAAAGTTGCCTCCTTTTGTGTTTTCTAGTTCTATTTTTAGTTCTTGGGCCATTTTGTTCAATTTCTTTACCTGCTTGATTTGTATTTTCCTGTATTTCTGTAAGGGATTTGTTTCTTCTTTAAGACCTTCTACCTGTTTGCCTCTGTTTCCCTGTGTTTCTTTGAAGGAATTATTTATATCCTCCTTGAAGTCCTCTATCATCTTCGTGAGGTGGGGATTTTTAGGTCATTATCTTGCTTTTTAGACAGTTAGGGTATCCATGGCTTGATGTTGTGGGATAACTGGGTTCTGATGGTGTTGAATTGCATTGGTGTCTGTCATTTATAGTCTTATGCATGTCTCTGGCCATCTGGTTATCTCTGATGTTAACTGGCTTGGGTATCTCTGACTGGAGCCAGATTGCTTGGAGTTAGGTAGTGCTCTGGGATCCTGGGTTAGTGCCCATTTCCTTGGAGGTGAGGCAGTGCTGTCTCTGGTTAGACTAGGCCTTCTGTGTCCCTGGTTACTGCAGACCTCCTGGGAGGCAGACAGGCTATAGGATGTGGGAGGGTAGCAGGCCAGATGATCTGGCCCAGGTAGAGAAGCAGACTCAAAGGAAGGTGGAGCTAGGAGGACAGGTAGATCCCATGTCAGCTGGGCTCTGTAGATGTTCCAGCTGGCATGAGTATATGGGCAAGATTCTCACCTGCGTCTTTGGTTACTGCAAACCTCCTGGGAGGCACACAGGCTGTGGTGTGTGGGAGGTTATCTGTGCCATTCTACCTTTTAAACAGTGTCACCAACTGGATACCAAGTGTTCAAGTACATAAGCCTATGGGGAACTTTCCTGGTCAAACATCTATAGATTATAACCTAATAGTATTCACTTGTTTTTTCTTCCTAATATGTATCTCTCATCTGTACCCTACCTTCAATATTCTGAATTCATCTATACTTCCTTGCTTAACATATCCTTACTGTAGACTTTTTGGCTCTCTTGGTTTCATATTGCTTACCACTTTTATAGCTGACATTGTTTTTTTGATGTGTATATTTTTCACTAGACAGAAACAATAACTAACAGATCTAGTTCTTTGCAGGTACCCAGTATACCCATAGTGCCCATCATTTTGTGACAGCTAAACAGTTCATTAATGTTGTTGAAGGTTGTGAAAACAATCATGAAGGAGGAACTGGAGGCCTCACAGACAAAATCTTCAGTATGGGACTTGTTCTGTATACCCAACCTGCGTAAGCGGATATGCCTCCTGTCCCTTGTGAGGTAGGTTTCCCACTGTTCCTATTAAAATGGTTTGAAGATAAATTTTTTCACTGATGTTATTTGATAATAAATGATGAGGAATATCTAGAGCTGGAGGTAGTCAAAGGGTTTTGAATATAGAAAAACAGACCAATTGTATCGTGAGGAGTGTGTTTATCCAACCACTTCCTGAATTTATCATTAGAGACTGATGCTCAGAAGCTCAGTCATCGTACAAACTGGGGCTCCAAGTATCTCCTTTTGTCTGTTTCAATTTCAAAATAGATAAAATCTCAAAGTTAAGGTGCATTAATGTGTACATCTCAATGAATACATACATTATACAATCCTCAACTAGATCAAGACACAATGAAAATTCTAAAACTCTTCAAGGATTCATCATGTATCCCCAAAACTCTACTATGCCTTTAAAAATTCAATAGCAATGATATATCCCATCTTCATACAATGATTTTATTATGATTATAAAGTTAGGGGTTGGAGAAATGGCTCAGCAGTTAAGATCACTCTTCCAGAGGGTTCAATTCCCAGCATTCACATGGTGGCTGAAATGGTCTGTAACTACAGGATCTGACATTCTCACACAGCATATATGCAGGCAAAATACCAATGTACATAAAATAAAGATAAATTATAAAATTATTATTTACAAAATATTCCAGAGAACAGAATGTAAGAATGCACAAACCACCACCACCACTACCACCACCACCACCACCACCACCACCACCACCACCACCACCTAACAGCTAGTCATTCTCTGTGGAGAGAAAGAACACTTTAATTAAAAAAAATCCTGTCCAACTGCCTTGGACAATAGAGTACAGCAGCAGCTGCAAAAGCTTGTTCATTTTTTTATGGGTTGATGGCAAGAGGAGCTTGCTCAAGTGGCTTGCCAGGGGGAACTAGATGATTAGTTTGGGGACTCTTTTTATTTTAGACAAATGAGGTACTAATAGTTGTGGAGAGGAATATTCAGGCAGCCTTTAAGAGCTTCTGAGCAACACTTTAGATTTCTATTTCCTAGCAAAACTCAGCTCAAGTGGGGGTCAAGTCATTGCAATCAGTTCTGTCACTTTGGACCAGCTTTGACAATTTAACATTTCAACCTTTTGTTAATGATAAGAGGAGATGGTCATCTTCTGACTACTTCTGGATGAGTGGGAATGTCAGTAAAGGGTATCTGTAATGTTGAGCCAAAGCAGAGGATCAAATTAGCAGGCAATGATATGAGATCTGAGGGAATTCTGTCAGAAGCATCTGGTTCACTAAACAATGGATCAGCTCATTGAATCTTTCATGAAAATACCTGGATGGGGGTAATTGTCACTCTGAGGAAAATAGAAATTAGAGGGTTGAAAAAAGGCATAAGTCAAGAGCTCAAAGCAGACCATAGTGAAACTTCTGTATTGAAGTCTGCTCCCAGGGTTCCAGTTCTGTATGTCAGCTCATGTAGGTTTTTAATATTCCTATTGAACTGGCCAGATTAGTTTACATAGTAACAACAGTTTTTTTTTTATTGAGGTGTTACAGTCCAGCAGCCTATGGTTAAACTGGGTTTACCTGAAAGGGGGGCTAGAAATGAGAAGGAGGGGGGGCAAGAGAAGAATGAAGCCAAGGCAAGGTTCTGGTCAAGGCTCCAAGTTTAATAAGAGGCACAGCATTTATAAAGGGAAAGCCCACACAACCCATCCTTTGTTTCAGCCAGGGTATATTGCAAAGCAAGGTCAGAGTGGCAGTCTAATCTTCTAAGTTCCTGTGGGAACCAGCATGTTCACCCAAGCTAGATGACTTCACCAAGGTTGATAAGGTCCATAGTAGCAATCAATCAAGGTCTGTTCAGTCTGCTCAAGGCTGGGAAAGGCCTGCTCAAGGCTGGGAAGGCCACAATTCCCTTTTTTGTTTTTTAAAGATGAGCAGTACCAGTTGCTGGATGGGGGGGGGTGCAGCACAAGATTTACTTGTTTTCCATAATCGCACCTAGGGTAAAGAGTGGCCAGGTGACCATACATGTCTTAGGTTGGTGTCTGTATTGCTCCTTCTTACCCATCATGGAGGCCAAACATAGCATTGATGTATGTTTCTGTCTTAGGTCAATAGGAACTCAAGAACACTCACCCATCTCTGGCTAACCAGCCTTCAATAGCACACACTTCCCTAGTCAGACCAAAGCCATGAAGGACATATCAAAGCTGAATATAGACTCAATGCATTTCTTTATATAGATGAGTAACTGCCTTGATGAATATCTAAGCTTGCTGAAAGTGATCCTGGATAAAGGCAACCAATCTGTTTAAGATACAAGGTCCAAAAGTTAAAAGCAATGAAATTATAATTAATGGTTCAAGCAGTGTAGAAATTAAAGTTGTAAGCCATGGTGAAGTGGAGAACCAGGATTTAAACCATCTTTGATTCTGTTCTTTTTCTCTTTTCCTTTTGATTAGTCCTTCTTGAGCTTTAGCCATAGAATCCTTTACTACTCCTGAATGATTGATGTAAAACAACATTCTTTGTGGAGGGCTGCACATAGTCCTCCCTGTTGGAGGAATAAAAGATCAAGTCTTCTCCTGTTTTGAAGGACTATCTCAGACAAGGAGGTTAGAGACTCTTGCAAATGGGAAATAGAAGTTTCTATTCTTTCTATATCTGTATGTATTGCCGTTCTAAGGAGCTCTAAGGTTTTTCCTTACAAAACCAGGGCAGACGCACCAGTAGCTGCTCCTTCTACACCGAGTCTCATCAGTACCGAAATAGTTAATGTAAAAGTTCTTTCTTGGGGCGAGAGAAGCCTCCATCCCAATGATCCAAGAGCTCATCATAAGAATGATAAATGAACCTAGGAATAAGTTGAACCAACACACAAAAATCTTTGGAGCTATCAAATACTTATGTATGAAAGCAGGGGATAAGACCTGTGGAACAAACACACCATCCCTCCTTAAGAGGCATAAGATAAGAAAAAGAGTGGAAACAGTAAGCACTTGATTGCATACCTCTGTCTTTTACTTTTATAGAATTTCCCCTATTCAGGTACCTAGTCCAGAAACTTCATGTAGGGAAAGGCTTATGCCAGATTTCTGATTCCATTGACAATCAGAAAAGCTATTAGAATAAGAGACATTGCTAGTATCTAGCAGTACCTTCATAGTAAGGAGGTGCTATATCATAGCAAAGCCAACAAGAACGAGTAATATTAGGATAAGTATCATTAAGCATATGAAACATGCTCACCATCAATTCTGTAAGGGGAATAGCAAATGTGGGAAATGAAGGGATGGCAACTGTGGGGCTATGATGGATACCAGACACTGGAGAAGAAAATAGGGAAGCAGTGGTATTTCTACTCTTTTTAGCACTATTTTCTACTTTTTTTAAGCAATATTTTCCTTTTATCTTTCTTATTCCTCTTTTTGGGCTTAGTAATGATCTTATTAGGTCCTACTGAAAAAGAAATTGGCTCAATTTTAAGCTTGATGGTAAAGAGTAACCTACCATCATAACCTGCCTTATAAAGTCAAAGTCCCCAAGTTTTTTCTTTTAGCCAATCTTTCTTTACCCGTCTTCAAGAATTACTAAAGCTTACCCGTAAGGAGTTGCAAACCCTTGAATATCTACAGGTAGAAGTAAGCAATTTGATTCTGCTTCTCATGCATTCTCCATTATTAGAACTATTTCTTTTAACAGAAATCAGCTCCCAACTAAATGAAAAATTTTACCTAGCTTCACTTGTGGTAACACAATTCCAGTCACAACAGAAAAAATGCTGGACTTCTCCACATTGATATTGCTTTTCTCTATCGGTTTGATCTTTAGGGCAGGCATAAAAAGCAGTATTTAAAAGATGGCAGCAAGGATAGGGTTGCCCACAACCTATATCTACATATTTTGCCACATAAGTCTGCTCGTTTTTAGAGAGTGACTTAGGTGAGGTGCCAGAGGCTGCAGGAATATTCCAGGTATCTAATCCAGCTGCTAATCGGCAAAAATCAAACATGAGGTCTGGTCACCAGGTATATGGGGAATGGCTTTGAGAATTGATAGAAAACACTTGCTCTCCAGTAAGGATGGAGACTACACTTCAGGTTAATTTAGCTGGCTGATCGGGATTTTGAGCCATCTTCATCACTGGTATCATCATCATTAGAAGGCTCAGGATCTGTGTTCACTTGACAAACCAATCTTTCAGGCAGCCATTGGGCTCCATTTTCTTCCTGTGAAAAAACACAGACAGACTCTCATCCCCAGATTAAAACAGAGTCAGGACCATTCCATGTATTAGTTAGAGGGTCTTGCCATTTAACCCTGGCATATGAGCTGGAAGTGACGGCATGCCAGTGGTGATCCACTGCAGACTGACCTTTAGCATCAGTTTGCAAAAAATTTAAAACAAATAAAACAAAAGCAAGATGTGCTTTTGGTAACTTTGAGGGATATAACTCCCCCTCTGTTGTTTTTAAAAGTCAATTTTTCAGAGTGCAATATGCATGTTCAATAATTCCTTGTCCCATTGGGTTATAAGGAAATTCAGTTTTATGTTCAATACCAAATTCCTTACAAAATGATGTAAAGTTGTTTCCAGTATAAGCAGGCCCATTATCTATCTTGATGACTTTAGTAATCCCATAGTTTTAAAAGCTTGTAAGCAATGATCAATTACATTTCTAGAAGCTTCTCCCATATGTAGAAAAGCAAAGAGGAATCCTGAACAAGTGTCAATACAGACATGTATATATTTCAATTTTCCAAATTCTTCATAATGAGTTACATACATTTGCCAAATATGATTTGGCATAAGGTCTGTTGGATTAACTCCTAAATGAGGAACTAGAGATAATGCAAGACAGTATGGCATTGTTTTACAATCATTCTAGCCTGCTCCTTAGTGATCTTATGTCAGAGTCTCAAGGTGTGACTAGAGAGATGAATTTTATTATGATCACATCTAGCCAAAGCAACAGGATCTGAAATTAAGGCTTCTCAAATTCAAGCTCTGTCAATGT